TAAGGCTTTGGTTTGTCATTAATCATGATATGTTTAGTGTTGTCACATATAGTTCATTGACAAATATTATATGGTTGATAGATGAGTTTCACAATATTATTTTGAAGGAGTAGAAGCTAAATACACAAATTTAATAAAATGATTGAAAATATAATGAGTTTAATTGAGTATAAATTAGTATTTTTAGAACCGATAACCCGATTAGTATCCGAAACCGAAACTATTCCGGGTTCAACTGGATCTTGGACATGTTACTAAACCCGAACCGAACCCGACTAAACCCGAACCGAATCCGACCCGAATTTTTATAATATCCGAATGAGGCTGAAATTCATGAACCCAAAAACCCGAAACCCGAATGAATCCGAACCGAAACCCGATTGGGACCCCGATTGCCCAGCCCTAATTGGAAAGTGACTTATCACCAACATTTTGGTGAAACAGTTGGTCTCGTTGGAAAAACTAAAAAAAATAGAGGTTGATGCGTTGCACAATGGAGATTTCATTACGCATTGGTCTTTCTTGTTTTACTAGTTTTTTGTTCTTGTATCTTTATCTATCTACCTATTCTGCTGATGATCCTTTAGACAATGAATGATGAATTTAAAACTACTTATGTTCCCCTCAATAAGTTAATTTTAAAGTTTGTTTTGTTGGTAAAATATGTTTGCTGTGTGTTGTGGTGTTACAGAAATTTACAGTGGAAGTAATATCATTATCATTCTTTGTGTTGCTTTCAAGCGTTTTAGATCTTAACTTATACAGCAGCTACCCTTGGTTATATCTTCCTCAAATACATATCTTTTCAGAGGAATTGGTCTTGTAATCCACAAATGCACATAGACTTTGATACTAGACCAGTGCATCAGACCTGGCAAAGCCAATTCCCTTTACTACCCCACGAGGTCTCTCTACAACATACTGCTCCCCTTCACTAATTAATAATAGGAATGCAAAACGCAGCTGTCTTCCAAGACCATCAAATCCCCTCCCAGCAGCCAAAATGGGAATTGCATTACGCTGCACAGGAGTCGGCTTCACGTAATTGAACCTTTATAAATAAGAAAGAGTCATCACATCCATAAACAACACTGAAAATGAAGCAAATACTGTCTTTATAAGAATCGAAAAAGCCTCAGCAAAATGACATTGCTCCCTCCCTAGACAGCACAACAAAACAAAAGCTAAACCCGTTATCAAACTCCAATAGAATCACTGACATGAACCCTAAAGTTTTCTTGGAACTAGAAGAAAAGATAACAAACAAACAAAAAATATTGCAGCTGTATCCGCAGGTTCAAGAGTTAAAGGAAGAGAAGATAAGAAGCAATTTGGTTTAGTGAAGGCTGGAGCGTTCTCAGTATGGTACTTAGTGTAATCTTTTGTTATGCAAGTGAATAAATACACTTAAGACCGCTATAGGAGTCATATTTATCAGTTGTGGGTGGATCTACCATGGCTTGTTAATAAAACATAAACACTTAGCATCTGATTAAGCTATTAAGTGATTGTAGCCACTTGCCTTTTTGGTACAGGGCAAAATATTGTTGAGAGTCCTGGAGTTAAGAGCAAATTAGCTGTGTACTTTGAAGCATGTCAGACGAGGGAACATCTGACATGGTGTTCAGCAAAATGAATCATAAAGAAAGTGAAGCAAAAAAGTTCTAGAGTTGGATTTCGTACCTGAGAAATCCAAGGGAGGTACAAGTATTAGCAAATGGTAATCACACCTGTATCGCACCTGACAATGTTTAAGAGGCAATTGGATTAAATCATTTGCAAGCTTTATAATCATCATCATTCTAGTTAGTGGAGACTTAGCTTGAAAATGTTAGTCACTAGTACGAAGTAGAAACTTGAAAATCTTCATAGTACAGACCTTAATACCGATGCAGCCATTGACATCAAGAGTGGTGAGAGAGAGTCTAGAAGTCTAGTATAGACTCTCTTTAATTGACAAAGAAGAAGTACCTGGAGTGGACAAATTTTGAAAAAGATAGAAGTGGATTCTCTCCAACTTTTTGGTGCTTGGCCTATAGTTTTAATACAAACAATTTAAGTCGAAAATAGGTAATACTTTGGAAACCACGAAATCGTATTTATGCACATAACTGAGTGGAATCTTCTTCACATTCAAATTACAGGTTAATCAACATAAGAACTCCAATAAATGAAAACAAAAAAAAAGAGCAAAATTACAAAACAAACTTGGAGAAAATAGCCAATGAACTTCTAGTACTTTTCATCTTCATCAAGATGATAGAGGGTAGATGTTTAAGATTTTTTGTAATTTCTGTTGAACTTCCCATGCACCTTAGACATGTACACACCTATACAGGCAGAAAAAAAAGGGTATGGTAACTTATTAGTGATTCTGATATGAAAAATGTGATGGCGGCGATGAAATGATAGATGGTTTTACCTACAAGCATACCAAAAGGACACTGAGGAAGCGTGATGTGAGGTCGTCCTAACCTAATCTTATGACATACTTATAGACTGAGAGCCAACCTGAAAGAAACATGAAATCAGGAAAAAGGTACCAACTTTGAGCAAAAGGAATCAAGCAGTCAACGTTGAGAATTAGAGACAGAGTAGCTAACAGTTCTCCTCAAAGCCAAAACTTTGGTCTAGGATCGATCAAACTAACCTCAACTGTGATAAACGATTAGCTTAACGAATTAAGTAACTAATTAAGTAACATTTGTTTTGAGTTTACAAGGAAAACTATCTAAGAATATGCCTAATTTTACTTTGTTTGGAATGACCAATATCCAAAAAACATTTGAATCCAATTTTATTTTAGTAAAATTGTTTTTTAGACAAAAAAACAAGTACATTATCCCATAAAGCTAATTATAAATTTGTACCTTTTTGCCTATATATAATACCCTTTTCTATTAATAAAAATAAATCAAATAAATAGTTTTATCAACAAAACAAATTTGTAAAATTAGAAACTACTAATGAAATACCTAAATCAAATTAGAGATATTTTTTGGTTGAAATAAGATTTGGATAATATAGTCATTTTGGTAATTTGGTTTATAACTTATGTTATTAGAAAACATTTGATTATTTTACAAGTGAGTATTCTTAATATTTTAAGGTATTTAAACTATATTTTGAACATTCAAACTATCCACTGAGTTCTTGGTCATATTTCAAACAAAAATGTTTTAGAGATGTAAGAACTGTTAGTCTATTTGTAAACATCGGTCTGTTTTTAGAGTTAAGCTATCGTGTTCCATTTCAGTTTCCGGTTTATATGTCCATGGGTATACAACTTTATATGTGTGGGTTGGGTCTTTTGGATCCTAAAACATATCAAAACCAATTAGATACTGAAAATTTTGGTTCGCATCTAAAGTTTTGTAAGACAAACAAATAATAAATTATTAATAACTGATACTAACCTTCTTACTCTCTAACTTTTTTTTTTTAGTTTCATATTACTTGAAAATATACAAAATAATAACAAAAATTGCAAACAAAAAATATATTACAAGTAGAAGATAAATTAAAATAAGAAAACACAACACATAGAGTTATATAGTATTTGATATTCATGTTTTTTGGCCGGATATGAATAAATTATTATTAGGTCGGATCGGTTATTTTTAGGTCTGAATTTATTTGAGTCGGGTTTATATTTTTTTTTATGATTCTTTTGGATAAAGAAATTTTAGACACAATTAAATATTTGTTATTTTTTTATGATTCATGTTTATTGTTATCTCACATTGATTCTTTACTCATGTTTGAGCCCAGATCACGAACAAATCAAGTAATTTTTGATTTTACCATCCCGTCCGTAGGGCGGGCCAACCCTAGTATTCCTATAAAATATTGACAATAAACTTATAAACCTAATGACATTTGTTTGTAAAAAGAAGAAGAGAAAAGCATAATAAATACTCCCAAGTTTGATATTAACAGTAATTAGGCGACTCTCAAGTAGAAATCTTACCTTTGGGAAGTGTTTTTATACCCTATCTAGATTTGGGGTTGAAGTAGTAAACTTGGTGACCTTTAAATAATCCAAATCGGATTTAACTAAAAACCTATTAATTAAAAACATGATAAAATTTGCAAAAATCCAAAATCGAATATTAATATGCAATCTGGCACTGGTTAACCCGGTTAAAATCTCAATTTTTCTTATAATATTTATAAATTGATCAAACTTCTCCTACAGGTTTAATATTAAAAAAAAATATAAACTATAAAATTTGTCGTTATTTGGACTTTGATGAAAGTTGTACAATGTTATTCAAAGAAAATGATAAATAAAAAAACAAAATTTATGCATATGACATTGTTAAACTATTATTTTATTTTGTTATTGAAAATCTACTATAAGTTTGTAATTGCGATTTAAAAATTAATTTTATAATATTTATATGGGCAAATCTCCAAAATAGCATATTTCTAAGTTTATGTCAGAAAAATAGTCTTCAAAAAATAAAATGACCAACATAACATTTTATCTTCTGGAAATTTTAATTTTTATTTTATTTTTCAAAAACTGAAATATTATCCCCAAAACCCCATTCCCCAACTCTAAACCCTAAACCCTAAATTATAAACCCAAACCCTAAACTCTAAACCCTAAATTCCACCTCTTACCCTTAAACCCTAATGTCTAAATTAATTTATCGTTGGGATATAAGTGTATATTTATCTCTTTGGATAAAACATTAAGTGCTATTTTGGTCATTTTTATTCTTAAGTGCTATATTTGTGACAAAAAAAATTTTTAGTGTTATTTTAGTCATTTTTCTCTATTTATATTGAATTATTTATTATCTTATTTTTTACTCAAAGTTTTTATTTGTTATTAAGGTTTGTTAAAATTTTTATTTTATAGTGAATGCAAATCAAAATAATACAATATATTAATCGTGGTTTAACCACGGTCGACCCAACTATCTGGTGATCTAGAGAATATCCAGTTTCATATTCGGGTCAGGTTATAAAACATTTCTTTTAATAGCTAATATATACTCATATATTAAAACTGATTAATTTATTTATTAACGATTCGTCCATAATCCGGTAATCCAGAAAATTTTCAGCTCATAATAGCTAATACATTGCTCTTTTAACTAAAGGTCATACCTTTGGCTGATGACACGTGTAAACCCCTTCCTCAACCCCGATTTGAAAAAAAAAGGAAACAACTTGACGAAGACAGGAAGGAGAGAGTCGAAATCTCCATTGGTCACCATCAAGTCCTCCTCAATCCTGCGAAGGTATGTCTCGTTGAACTCAACCTCCTCTTCTTCTTCTTCTTCTTCTTCTTCTTCTTCCAATCTAGTTCCTGAAACCCTAATCTCATTCCTCTCAAGATCAGATGTTTGAGTGGATGCTAACTTGCCTCTATGGAACCCGGACTGCACGGATCGCAGCCGTTGTTCAGGAAATCAAAGAGTCACTTCAGGTATTTGAACAAATCGAGAGAGACCACCGAGATTTGATTGGTGCTGCACAAAGCGCCATGACAGGCACAACAGATGAGGCTTTGGTTGCAAGGGAGACAGTGAATGTGCAACTAAGCCAGCGTGAGATCGATTTGGCGAGGGCTTCCATAACATTGCTTAAAGAGGAGGTAGGGTTTTCTTAAAAATCTTTAGCTTACTCTAAAGGTTATTGTTTTTGTAAATAGGTGTATGTAAGAACTTGTGGTTGTTTTTTTGTGAAACAGATGCATACGATAAGAACGTCGCGGAGGTCTCGGAGCTTGTTCAGTGCGTTGAGAACAGCAAGAGTTCACAAAATGATTTGAATTGTTCTATTCTCATATTCACTTTTTCATGAGATAAAAATTGTAGTATTTGGCATATTGTATTTTTATTTAGAGCTAAAAACTCAATAGAAAAATCGATGCAATGTTAAGTTCTCATGCATATGAAATTGTTTTACCAAGTAACAAGAACCTTAAAATGAAAATTTTATGCAAATTGAGCAGCCAAATAAAAATAAATGGTATAGCAACACAAAATCATCTTTAATAATGCACAAGTATTGCTCATTCTCTCCAACTTTTATATGATTGTTAGTTCCAACCTCATTTAAAAAACTCTTAGTAATATGTTAATTAACTTCTATTATAGCAAAAAAATCTTATGAGAAATAAAGTTCTTTGGAGAACTTATCTTAGTAGAGCATAAACATGTCAAGTCTTCATAACTTAAACAATGTTTATATTAGATTATTCCATTAATCTAGTTCAACGACTATAAATCTACAACTTAATTCAATATCAAATTACAATTTTCACATTAAATTACAATTGTCGTCATTTCATTTAGCTCACTAGTACTCGAACACAACTAATAATTTTCGAATTTGTAAGCATAATTAAAACCTTAAAAAATAAATATTAATAAATCAAGTAGAAGTGACTGTTTTTTAATCATCATAAGTAGAAATGCAATGATTCATTTTTAATGGATTGAAAAAAAATGTTTACTTGGTGAAGTGGTGATGCAGTGAAATGATCATTAGATTGCTGGACTACCTTTTTACTATTAATTCACAGTGTATTTTCAGGATATAGTAAAAAATGTAACCATTTGAGATCACAGAAATTTATTGTAGTTTATTTTGCTAGCAGCTATAATAAAAATCATATCATTACCAAAAGAAAAGCAAGTATAGGAAAAGAGAAATAATCAATTTTGGTAGGAAATAATATAATATTTTATTTCCTAAAAAGAAAAGTACACTAACCCACCAAATTTTGCATCTAATAGACTTGCAAACTAAATCTAAGTTCATTGTATAGTGTTATTTACCTCAAGATGTTATATGAATTTCATACTATATAGAAAAAAAAAAGTAAAATTAATTTTCTTTACAAAATACTAATATACTGAATTTATCATTTTAGTTAAAAATAGGACATGTAAAATAAAATCTTTTAAAAGTTTCTTTAATAAAAATTAGGGAATGAAATATAAGGAAATGTATCCAAAATTTGTTACTATATTTATATTAAATCAAATATATACCTTTTTACACATTAGGGGTAATTTAGAAAATTACACAATTCTGCCAACTCCAAAACGTCTGTAGGGTGATGAATTAACAATTTTGAAACAGTTTTGTTATAACTATATTTTTAATTCAAAATTAATAAACATCATTTGTTAGTAGAACACAAACAAAATAAACAATTAAACTTAAGCTCAAGAAGCAAAAATAAAAAAAAAATATGATTTCAGACCAATTTTGTAGTATATATATATATAATGGAAAATAAGAAATGATAAAGTGTTTAATGGAAAAGAAGTCTCACCTATTGATATTCTTCAGTTAGCTAAGACATAAGCAGAATGTTGGAGAGTTCCAAACCCTAAAGAGGACGAAGAGTAAGATGCTGTACCATATCTCCCACTTATCAGCTCGACCCCAATCATAGACAACCAGATCCTAACCTACTAAATTGATGCCTCCTCGGTCAATCATGGTTTGGTCAGTGGACTCGGTTGGACCTATAAGGATCAAATGGGGGTGGAACATTTTGGACTTCAAGGATGTCGGCAAAGCATCTTGGCGCTCCATGCAGAGATGGAATGACTTATTTGGGCGATGTCTTGCTTATGTGTGTTGTTAGAAACCACGATACATGTACATACAAACTGTTCCGACTTGGTGAGCATGATTGTGAGTCCAATCGATGGTGGGCTTTTGCTTTGGAGCTGGTCTCATTTCATCTCATACGAGACTGTTTTTCGGGTTTCAGCATCTCCCATATTATCAGAGCGAGGAACGTACGAGCAGACGCCCTATCAAAGATGGCGAGAAGCAACGACACTCTCATTTCCATGTTGATCAGTCCCATCCGGACCAAGCGTATTTTTGGAACAACTCAAACTGGACCACCACTTGATTTTTAAAAATGGGTGTTAATATATATATATGATATAAAAGATATAAAAGCCTTTCTGATTGTATATTATAGAAAAAAATGGAATGATAGTTTTGAAAATTTATTTCAGTAATCACAATGACATAGAATTTATGTGCATCTATCTGAATATATAAAGAAAATGAATTAACAACAACATTTCTTATAATAAATAATTTTTTAAGGATATTAAAATTTATCAAAATTTATATTTTTGGATATCTTTATAAACTCATTTATCATTTTAGTATGAACATACTATTAATTATATGTGTAATTGTTTTATTAATACATTCATATGATTAACATATAACTAAAGAACTAAAACGTCAATAATATATAGGAAAAATGAATTGAAAATATTCTATAAATAAGACTACTTAAAATAGTGAAATTTATTAAACATATACTTCTAAATATTTTCATAGATATCTATTTATCGCTTCACAACATATATTGCTTAACAAATAAACCTATCAGCATGAGCCACGTGGAAAAACATCTATTAACATCAGCCACATGAATTTCTGGATATATCTAAATTTTCAAGAATAAATTAACGGTGACAAAGAAATATCTATTGACATCAAGATTGATATACATCAAAAATAACTTGTAAATATTAGATTTTATCAAAAACTTTTATATGGCTCTTTGGTGAGTTAGACATCCATGCTTATCCAGTCACTATATATGTTACCTTCTCTCACACTATCAACGTAACAAAAAGAAAAGAATAAATACCTCACCACGCTCAAACTGAAAGAAACTGAGCAGTCATGGAGCCAACCATTGATGCTCATGAGACTGTGAAAACTAAAGGCGGAGTTACCACCAACGCTCAGCCATATCCATCACCTGAAGTGCTAGCCGTTGAGAATATTATTATGCATCCATGCCATGACGGAAAATACATACAATACAACATATGTGAGAATATCTTTGAACTCACAGCAAAGTATATGCCATCAATTATGCCTATCGGTGGAGGTGCTTATGGCCTCGTTTGGTAATCTCCTTTTAACAGTTTTTTATACCATTTGTTTCCATTCTTTAAGGGTTGTGTGATCCTTTGTTCCTGGTTGCTCTGAATATTATTGACACATTAATTGATATATTTATTTTTTTATTGTTTTTAACAGTCCAGTCATGGACTCAGAGACCAATGAAAAAGTGGCAATAAAGAAGATTGGTCATGCATTTGAAAACAAAATCGAGACAAAGAGAACTCTTCGTGAAATTAAGCTTCTGCGTCACTTTGAGCATGAAAATATCTGTATGATTTCATCACTATTTTTTTAATTAAGAAGAGACCCAAATCTTACCATTATTTTTATGACATGGCTTAAACCATCTAAGCTTTTTATTCTTCGTTTTTTAATACTCTTTCAAGTTCTAGAAGATCAAAGAAGGAGAAGACACGATGAAGCTTGTGTTATATAATACGGAAAGAGTATTAAAAACGAAGAATAAAAAGCTTAATACCTTTTGCGTATTCTTATCCTCTTCCCGTGTGATAGTGTGAGTAGTCTTTAGACTAGCCAAACGAGCCGCATGCCACTCTGGAGTGTGAAATAATGAACCATCCACCTGAGAGTCGGAAACATTCCGGTACAATAAATGATCAAAAATAAATAAAAAAAGAGTTGAACAATGCATCATTACCAAAGCATCTTATTGTTTTTATCTTGTCTAAATCCTTCTTGTGTGTGTGTTTACATATTGCAATCGCTAACTATTGGACCACTCAGACACAAACCTCCAAGGCTACACTCTAAAGAAACTACAAATCAACTATAGTTTTCTCGCAAACATGAACATATAACACTGTAAAATATGTATCCCGCATAGACAGGAACAAGAAATGACCATCACTGCCCAAAAGTTGAAAACAAAGAAGTAGCAAATGCTCCATTAGAAAATCATCTTACTGTTTTTAGTTGTCTAAATGCGTCTTGTACGTTTACAGATTGCAACACAAGACATGTCTATAAAACTCAATGATACATAGTCAACTTGTAATGAACCTCCATTACCAAACCTCAATGCTACATATCAATACAACACAGACACTCTTGAATCACCAAGACACAACCTCAATGTTGCATATCAATTTGTAAGGTACCTCCATTACCAAACCTCAATGATACGTACAACACAACACAAGACACTCTTGTACTCTTCATCTGTGTAGATTCAAACTCCTGACCAACATCAGGCTCATATGCCTGAACCTTCCCATATCTACTTTCTCATCTTGCTCAAGAGGCGTTGCTTGACCATAATTTTCACCTATCTCTTATGGTTGTCATTGTCTTTATGAGAACCTTAAGTAGACACAAGAGGGTGTTAAATGTATGTGTAAGAAGAAATTATTTGGAAACCGATGGTTTCAATATATCAATCCTGTTAAGTCAAAGGGATTTCTACATAGTTAGGCTATCCTTTTTATCTTGTATAAAATTGTCTCAGGGATATTGAGAAAAGTTTACGTAGAGTTGGTGGTTTCAATGTCCTCAAGTCTTTGTAATTTTAGAACCCTACTCTATAAAACGCTAGTTTCGATATCTTGTTTGTATTTGAAACCTAAAGGCAAACTACCCTCAACAACATGATACCATATTTACTATACTATTTCAGAATCTAATCCAAAGTAAGAATGAGATCGAAGTTTACTATGATACCATGATACCATATTTACCCTCAACATGTTGGAACGATTTATATGTTTCTGTATTGCTCTTTTTGCTTAGAGTATTATTGAATCATTTCACGACAAGGTGTTGTGTCTTTGTATTGAAGCGAGTCTTATCTTATTTTTGCAGATGCGTCTAAAACTAGTGTTGCGCAGGAAGCAATGCAGAACGCAGTATATATAGTTTGTTATGTATATATAATCACTTCAGTGTTTTAGTGTAGACTTAGTTGTAACAGAATCTCAAGTCTTATCAACTTTCATTAAGAGATGATTTCAGCTGACACTGATCTCATCTTGAATGTGAAATGAAGAAAACAAAACCCAAATAAATCAAATGGTTTTTGTTTACAAACTCTTTGGACTGTGACCTCTAGCTACTCTTAGCCATCTCAAATCCATTCCTAGCATTCTGATAGTCTTCATAAGCCGTATCAATCTCAGCTTGAGAACTCATCACAAACGGACCACTCTGAATTAGAGGCTCACCAATCGGTTCCCTTGCAATCAACAAAAACCTCAATGACCTAGAACTTGACTTGTTCCACATGCTAACTAACTCCCCTGGTTCAAACACAACAACATGGTGCGCAGATATAGCTGAAGAGTTCAAGGAACTGAACATTCCTTCATCGCCTTCTAAAATGTAGGCGAAAGCTGTCCAAGACTCTGGAATGGTCTGATGGGTTTGAGAACCTGGCTTGAGGGTGAAGTCAAGGTACATCATTGGTGTGGTTGTGTGGAAAGGAGATTTGGTTCCCATAGAATCTCCGGCTATGACTTTACCAAGTACGCTACAGTAAAGCAGGAAGGCAAGATCAGAAGTCAAGAAACTAGGACGCTTGTGATGGAACCACTTCAACTTCAAGATGAGCAAATATAAGCACAGGAAAAAGAAACTTACAAAGATAACGGTACAGATGTATCTCGTAGCGAGAGGAATGCCAATGGCAGTAGCACCTTCAGGAAGAGAACGCAGTTGATTTACACTAATCCCTATCAGCAACAGAGCAAATGCCTCCAACTACAACAAAATCAAAGATAAGCAGGACTTGAGCAATAAGACAAACAAACAAAATCGAAACGAGAATAAGAGGTAACTTTGAATGGAAGGCTACACAAAAACTTCCACTACCATATTGTCTGATACTGAAAACCATTTACATACAATGAATAGGAATAATTGAACCGCACGGTCCTCACCTGAATGATGGAAAACCGCCGCTTCATTACCATCTTTAATAGAACAGCAATGACCAGAACTTTAAGATTGCTAAGCATCTTCACAGTAGCAGGGTTGAAAGACAGCTGGCACAGAAGAAAGTTTCAGTATAGTATGAAACTAAAATACATGAAAGATTGAAAGATAGAGCCAAATAGTACAAGCCTAGAAGGACAGATAAATAAACCCTCTGCAATGCACAATGTAAGAATGATGTTACCAGCTAGCCGACTCATATATATATATATATATCACCAAAAGACGACTTGTTATATAAGGCAGTGATTAGCAGGTCTCACGAAAGAAGAAGATAAGGACGAAAAGAGAGGTATATAAACTGCTTCTTCTAAAAATGGCAATCAGTCATTTGTTTAGGGTGCACTGAATTAATGTCTGACATGGAAAGTCACAAAACACAGAATCAAAACTGAAATAATACAACACCAAAGGACATGCTATTCTCATAAAGCCAAAACCTTAGATAGATCTCCATACATTTCAGCATCTTAAATAGACTTACGTATGCCAAAATGAAAAAGAACAAGTGAATGTACCTGCATTGTGAACTTCAGGTAGTTATTGATTGCATACAACAGGGCTGGAACAGCAAGAAGCACATTGTTTCGAGCTGCCTGCAAAATAATACGTAAATGCGATTTAAATAAACCTTAAAAATGAAAATGACCAAAATAGATTTAAATATTTTATTAAAAACTTAAATCTATTTTATGATTAAAAAAATTGAAAAATGTTTATTTGAGAGATTTACCTATCCCCATTAACCAATGTATTTAAAATAAATTAAATTTTTTTTTATTTTTATTTACAAATTATGACGCTATATTAAAATAAAGTTAAATTAATTAATTATATTCTAAATATTATCTAACTATAATGATATTCATATATTGACCATCTATCTATATTATTAAAACTACTGCTATATTGTTTGGAAACATATCTAGTAGTATTTCAGTGTTTTTTTTATTTACACATTTAGCCTTTGTATTTACAATAAATCAAGTATTTCTTATTTTATTTCTTTTATTTACAGATTCTGACACTATGTTTAAAATCAATTTAACTAACTAATTAAAATTTTCAAATCTTATCTAACCAAATAAATATGGGAAATTGACCACATTCATAGTACTATTTTTCAGGTTTATACTAACCACTTTTACCTTCACTTTTAATGAAGAGTGAAAGATATTTATATTTCTAGGATTAATTAATCTACACTTTTTATAGGGGTTTTGGAATGTGAAATTTAGGATTCTAATAAATATATAAATAAATCTTTTAAAAATATTTTAAAATTTTAAAAATAGTTTCAAGCATAATTTTCGATTTTCAAATTTTTTTTTTTAAATTATACAAAATAAAAAGTATAATTTGTAAAAAACAAATATATATTTTTTTATTTTTTTGTTCATTTATATAATTATTTATTATATATAGAGAATACGAGTATATAGTCTTTTGCCACTTAATGAAAAATGTATTTTTGAAAATGTTTATTTACTTGTGATGAAAGTGGTAAACATGAAATTCCCCCAACATATATTCATATATTGACCATTATTAATATTATACAAATATAAACTAAATCACATGTATTAAAAGAAGATAATATTTTTAGTATGGTTAATTTAGTTAATATTCCTACAATAGTAATAATTATTAACGCAAAAAAAAAAAATTTAGTATTTCCATTAGTTTTAAAATAGATTAATAAATGACAGGTTAATGTAAGAATATAAAAACTACATAAAATTGCATCAAACTATAAAAATTTAATATAATATTATGTACAAAGAAAAACATTATTATCAAACATCTATATTATAAAATAATATATTCTACCTTATATGTAAATTACAAAACATTTAAAATATACATGAATTTTTTTTTTGATAAAACAATCTGTTTATGAATTTACATTGAACATAAGTTAAATCAAACATCTAATTCAAGTTAGATTCTCATACAATACTAAAAGGGTAATATAAGTCCTAGATACGTTGTCCACCTGGACAAAAATAATCAACCAATGAGAACATTTCGTTTTGCTACATCAGTATTTTGTGAGCTCCACATTCGTTAATTTCCAACTTTGTGTCGTTCTATTTTGACTCACGTGCCGTTATATTTTTATTTTACATAGCGTGCTGTTTTTTGCAATCGACATGTATATTTACTTTGATATCATCCTCTTCCCCAACTTGAAAGCGAAACATTTGTTCTTCTTTTCATCGCATGCGTTAATTTGCCTTTTCAGTTTTCTTCTTCCTTTCTCCTCCTCTTCCAATTTACAAACTTCGTTACAACTGAGCATTAGATTCTTAGGTTACCCAAATATGCTCACTTACGAATTTATTATTGAACCAGCTCCAAAATGTCGTCAATGTTTGTAAACCAAGCAACCTAAGAATCGCCCAATCTGTTTTTGTCTGCATCATCTAATTCTAGGATTCGAAGAACATCAACAAGAACAACAGTTTATGGGGATAACCCTCTTCCTCCTCGATGACAGGTGGGTATTTCTCAGATCTATTTCCTTACTCCTTTTGATTTTAAAACCTAGGCTGTAGATATGCTACAGAGAGTTATTTGGTTGTGTACAGTGAGTTTTGTCCTCCTTTCGTAACATTTATATATGGGAATTTTATTCTAGTTGTTAAGGTTTATGCGTTTGTCCGCTGAGAATATGGAGTCCGCAGAGTGCGTCAAGGTTGCCGTCAACATTCATCCCTTTATCACGCCGGTGCTTCTTAATGGATGCACCGATTGCATCACGGTTGTGTTTAAGGAGCCTCAGGTA